TATATATATAAATATATATATATATATAAGTAAACAGGATCAATAACCTGGTTTAATATAAAATATTTATAATAATATATATTTGAAGGCTTGGGCGTGATCACGATTGCTAGCGGAAGCAACATCATCAGCAGTGGCAATGCCATGAAAAGCCGTGACATGTTGACGTCGGTGCTTTTTCACTCAAACCCAAGTTATGATAAAGTGGTTTACTTGCTAGCTAAAAACAATGTATCTCCAGTCTTTTTTATCGCGGTTTTTCACGCACAAGGGGTCGTACAACGATTAAAGCAATGTTTCCTATTTTCTAAAAAAACTAAAGAGGTTAATGAGACAGCCGTAACGATTACGGACTTCTTGCGTCATCTGCAATGTCAGGGTTGCGCGTTGACGTTGACTCTTGCGTCATTCTAGCGTCACTTAACTTCGCAAGACATCGCATTGCCGCGATACCGTCTTTTGTGGACACGTAATTAGTTGCGTCGTAACGTAAGCGACGCGTGTAGCATTACGTCATTGTTTCGTACGTTCTTTCGTCATCACGCGGCCGTTTCGATGGCATCCGGCAGATAGATGCGATATGATATGACTACTAGGCACTTAGGATATGACTACTAGGCACTTAAAAAAAAACCTTAACCCTAACCCTAACCCTAACCCTAAAAAAAAAAAAATTTAATTAAATTAAAGTGCCTAGTAGTCATATCATATCGCATCTTTCTGCCAACACCGTTTCGATGCGCGATATCGCCATCTTGCGCTGCGACATCATCACCAATGACCGAAAACCCCCCAAAACGAGTGAAAACATTTCTTCTCGGATTCTAGAAGGAGCCGACTTAACCCCGTGCGTGCTGCGCATGCGTAGCCCCCCCCCCGTGGGGAGGAATTGGCTGTATCTGTCATCGGTGTACATGTTCGCGCGCGCGTGCGAGACGATCACGTGATACGCGTCTACCGCTAATGGCGCCGCTAGCGGCAGCGGCGGCCGGCAGAGCGCACGCACGCACGCTGCTGCACGCACGCGCGCACGCTGCTGCACGCACGCACGCTGCTGCATGCACGCACGCTGCTGCACGCACGTACGCTGCTGCTGCATGCACGCACGCTGCTGCACGCACGCTGCTGCACGCACGCTGTTGCACGCACGCACGCACGCTGCTGCACGCACGTACGCACCCTGCTATCCCTCGTCTGCTCGTCTCTCGCCGCGGAGCAGCAGAGGTTTACACACGTGGCCCGCACGGCGACATTTATATCTTAGCATTTCATCTGTTTATCTAAGAAGCTGCGTCGCCTGTGCGGCGGCGCTGCGCTGCGAGGCATCGGTAACGAGAGGCAGAGACGCTGGCGGAACGAGGCGATCGCGGGGGCCGGTGGTGGTATCCGCGCAAGACCAGCACGGTGTCTATGCTTGGTTTGGTTTGCTTGGTTCTTGGTTTCTAACCGGACATTGGTTTGCTCGCGGTAGCGTGCGCGCGAAATCATAACAGCATGCCTGCGCGTTGCGAATTCTGTTTACTCTGGATCCGTCGGTAATGGGTTCCGCAGACTGCCGCAACTCGGGAGTCTTCGAACCGACGTTACCTTTACGGGAAAGGTATATGCACGCGCATTTAGACGGGGAGCCCAGGGGGTGGGGGTCAGTCTAGGTGAAAAGTTAACAGATTCTCATGTATATAGCATGAATGGTCCACGTGCATAGCCATGTAAACACATCACGCGCTTGGACTGGTAACGCGCAATGATGATATACGATCAAAACAACGAGCAAGTTAACATTTTCAGTAATTTCTGATCGACTTTCAACGGTATATTAATCGTTCTACCTCTCTTTCTCTCTCTCTCTCTCTCTCTCTCTCTCTCTCTCTCTCTATCTCTCAGCTCGCGTCGCTCGCTCACTCTCTCTCTTTTCTCTCGCGATCCTTCTCTCTCTCTCTCTCTCTCTCTCTCTCTCTCTCTCTCTCTCTCGATCTTCTCATCTCCCCGCTTCACTCTTCTTGCTCTTACTCGCTTTTGTTAATATTTCGCAGGTAGAGTGTACGATGAATAAAATAGATAGATAGATTGTCCGCGTCTGTTGGTTGCCTAACTGTGACTTATCTATATATATCTACTATACTACAGATATCTATATAAGTATAGTAGATATCTATGGTTTTATCGACTACTTAATCTTTATCTGCATGGTACTGCCACCTGGTGAGAGAAACAGGTATAACTTAAATAATTCTCTCTTCGCGTTGGTGTTACTGTAAACAACACAACAGTCGGAACCAAGATCACACAGCGTTTGTTTTTGCGTCTATAACAAATTCGTCATTTATAACAGTTATTAATGCTAATTATGAGACGTATAGATTGTCGTTAACCGATCAGATAAATAATATGATTATTTAGCTTACATTAAAGTGGGAATCAGCATACTAATCGCCGACCACTATATATTAACTATAGTTATATCATTATACCATGAATATATGGATCTTCATGACTACACACTACAGTACTCATGCATACTCAGAGAATCCATATGGTTATGACAATATTGATTATGCGAACTATATAGTTAGTGTATAGAGAGATCAGTTGTACTGATTCATACCGCTGCCGCGCCCCCTGGTGTTCTGCTTACGAGTTACGCCGTGCTGGACGAACGGCAGATGTTTGCGGCAGTTAAATTTTTTGCGTAGGCGTAGTATGATCGGAATTATAAACAAGTTTAGTTTGTTATCGTAATCCCTAGCTTACATTTCCTAAATATTGTAGGATCGTGTTAAACATGATGAGTATGAGTGTGAGACGAGAGTGCCCGAGTTTTTTATTGTTATTTTGCGAATTAACGAATCCTCCGGAGGTCTCTTTATGCGTGACGGGATAGGATCCGGGTTTACGCATGCCTAGCATACCTATGAACGCGCATTTGTTGTTGAAATTATTATTTTTTAAGTAGAGAGTGGATACCTGCTAGTAGTGGCTGCTGTTTCGATCATGGTTAGGGTTAGGGTTAGGCTTAGGGTTAGGGTTAGGGTTAGGGTTAGGGTTAGGGTTAGGATTAAGGTTTGGGTTAGGCTTAGAGTTAGGGTTAGGGTTAGGATTAGGGCTATGGTTAGGGTGAGGGTTAGGGCTAGGGTTAGAAATAGAGTGAGGATTAAGGTTGGAGCTAGTGTTAGAGCTGGGGTTTGGTATAGAAGGAATATTACTGTTAGGGGTAGGGTTAGGATTAGGATTATCTGTAAATGTAGGTGTAGGAAGAGGGTCGAGCACGAGGGGCGAATTGACTCGTTTGTGAGCGAGAAGGAGAAACCGAAGCCACAACGATGCACAGACGGTGGAATTGTTTGCTGAGCATGAGTATGTTCTAGGATTTTAATTAGTATAGACTACGAGGAGACCGTATATAGGTGTGTCTGTTAGACAGAAGATCCAGATGAGATGGGATACTAGAGAAGCGTTGCCGAAAGGAGGTGTTAATCCGAAGT